ATTTCAGCCTGCTTTTCTTCCTGGATTTGTTTCCATAGACAACACACAAGCAACGTGTTGATCACAGCTAATAAGTCTCACATAGGCCAACCCGGGATCCGAACTCGAGACTTTTTGGAGTTACCATATGCGCTCTCCCATCTACTATGCTTCTCCTCAAATGATATCTTTAAAAAGTAATGATGTGGGCTAAAATAGGGTTGAGGTTTAGTTAGAAAGAGTGGGATACTGGTAAGCAGTATGTGAAGGACAAAAACCTAACATTTATCAAAGCGTCAAGAACATTAATTAATCTACAATAAGATGCTAAAAAAATATTATACTGATGAAAAATTCAGCCAGGAATATCAGCCCAGCGGGCGGGTGTGTGGCGCAATGTCACTAATACGGTGCAAAATAAAATGGGCGGCCGTGATAATTTTACGACGACTACGGTGATAAGTTAGATGGGCGCCGTAAATTTTACTCGGCTATTTTAGAGTTGGATAATATTGACATTTTTTTTTTCTCTATATATTTCCTAGCAGGTGGTAAAATATCGTAAAATGAAGTTTAATCGTGGTTATTAAAGAAAAACATTTTTAAAAATAATTTCAGTCATACACAATTTTTTTAAAAAAGATGGTTTGGTTGGGGGGTAGGAGTGGAATTTACGCAGGCAATAATTTAAAACCTTACACCATAACTCGTTTATAACAAGTTTTATACTCGATAATTTCTATTCGATATCGATTAGTCACCAGAGACACACAGGCAGACAGACAGACACACGCACTCTCTCACAGACACGGCTTCTCCATGCCATTCAATGATTATCAATGAATCAGCACTTACAAGTCAAGTGCACAGAATGTTAAACTAATCGCATCGATTATCATTAACCTTAAAAAATCCAAACCCCTTTCTTTACTCAAAACCTATCATTATTATTAACCGTGAACCTAGTCCTAAATGGTATGCCATAAAAAAAAAAACAAAAAAAAAAAACAACTATCGATAAACAAAAGGAAGCCTTAACCCAATCCTAAACCTTACATGGCTAAAACTGACTATCTGAATGGTTGGCCCAACATCTAAAAATAACCATGCTTGAGTAACTCTCCTCTGCCAGAAGATCAACTTGATAAGGGAGAAAAACTCTTCATGAATTTATGACGTCGGGAACCAGCAAATGTTGATGACGTCATCAAGTGGCCCATACACCGATCACAACAACATTGCCTTAAGAATAATTGTATCCAATTCTCTAGTCAGCGATGTAACCGAATGTTTCTGTTCTAACATTGATATGACCGGTTTAAAAGCTATATTCAGCGGCTATTGAAATATAAACAATGTTTTATGATCGCTAGCACGGCAAGCAGAGATGGAGAAATAACTTTTTATTGCATGACTAACAACAGCTGATCGACCGGAATAAAATTGTGCAGCGGTCTGTAATTATCCACGCGCCTTGCGGGATATTGGAAAATTCTAGAAACACGATTAAACAAAATGAGCGGGAATTATTTTCGGTTCTATAAGAAATTGTTAAGAGGTAGAGTAGGTCACCCAGGATGTACAGTAGGTCACCAGGAGGTAGAGTAGGTCACCAGGAGGTAGAGTAGGTCACCCAGGAGGTAGAGTAGGTCACCCAGGAGGTAGAGTAGGTCACCAGGAGGTAGAGTAGGTCACCAGGAGGTAGAGTAGGTCACACATGAGGTAGAGTAGGTCACACAGGAGGTAGAGTAGGTCACCAGGAGGTAGAGTAGGTCACCAGGAGGTAGAGTAGGTCACACAGGAGGTAGAGTAGGTTACCCAGGAGGTAGAGTAGGTCACCCAGGAGGTAGAGTAGGTCACCAGGAGGTAGAGTAGGTCACACATGAGGTAGAGTAGGTCACACAGGAGGTAGAGTAGGTCACCCAGGAGGTAGAGTAGGTCACACAGGAGGTAGAGTAGGTCACCCAGGAGGTAGAGTAGGTCACACAGGAGGTAGAGTAGGTCACACATGAGGTAGAGTAGGTCACCAGGAGGTAGAGTAGGTCACCCAGGAGGTAGAGTAGGTCACACAGGAGGTAGAGTAGGTCACCCAGGAGGTAGAGTAGGTCACCAGGAGGTAGAGTAGGTCACCAGGAGGTAGAGTAGGTCACACATGAGGTAGAGTAGGTCACACATGAGGTAGAGTAGGTCACACATGAGGTAGAGTAGGTCACCAGGAGGTAGAGTAGGTCACACAGGAGGTAGAGTAGGTCACCCAGGAGGTAGAGTAGGTCACACAGGAGGTAGAGTAGGTCACCCAGGAGGTAGAGTAGGTCACACAGGAGGTAGAGTAGGTCACCAGGAGGTAGAGTAGGTCACCAGGAGGTAGAGTAGGTCACACAGGAGGTAGAGTAGGTTACCCAGGAGGTAGAGTAGGTCACCCAGGAGGTAGAGTAGGTCACCAGGAGGTAGAGTAGGTCACACATGAGGTAGAGTAGGTCACACAGGAGGTAGAGTAGGTCACCCAGGAGGTAGAGTAGGTCACACAGGAGGTAGAGTAGGTCACCCAGGAGGTAGAGTAGGTCACACAGGAGGTAGAGTAGGTCACACATGAGGTAGAGTAGGTCACCAGGAGGTAGAGTAGGTCACCCAGGAGGTAGAGTAGGTCACACAGGAGGTAGAGTAGGTCACCCAGGAGGTAGAGTAGGTCACACAGGAGGTAGAGTAGGTCACACATGAGGTAGAGTAGGTCACCAGGAGGTAGAGTAGGTCACCCAGGAGGTAGAGTAGGTCACACAGGAGGTAGAGTAGGTCACCCAGGAGGGTCACTTTTCTCGAAATCACCAACCATACTCCAGCAGGACAGGGAACTCTGGAGAGCTGTAGTTGGTGGCCCATACTCCAACAGGAGAGCTGTAGTTGGTGGCCCATACTCCAGCTGATTTGCTAGTTTTAAGATTTCAACCCCCCCCCCCCCCACACACACACAAGGTCTTCTGCATCAAGGTCATCAATTAAGAATGTTGAGAGGTTAGCAGTCCAGGTGATGTATCGTTATCTACGAGCCGATCTATCTACTGGTCGATACAGTTTCGCATGCCGCTAGTGGTAGCCACGGGTAATTAATATTTTATCCAAATGAAATAAAAAGTAAAAACATAAATAAATAAAGCAAATCAAAAGATGGCCTGAAACTCATCCCAACCGCGACTAAACTACCACTATCAGAGGACGCCAAAATGGGTAGAAAAAAATGAAAAAGCCTATTTTAATCTGAAGTATTGAATGGTACATAGTCGAAATTAAGAAAATAAATGGTTACAAAGCTTTACACGCTGATTTAAATGTTTTCTATATCCAAAATAAATACTGTTCGAGTTCGTGACTGGTAAAAACCTTACCAACAGCGGGGGGGGGGGGGCTTTTTCATCAGCATGAATAACTATAGCCTCTCTCTCTCTCTCTCTCTCTCTCTCTCTCTCTCTCTCTCTCTCTCTCTCTCTCTCTATATATATATATATATATATATATATATATATATATATATATATATATATATATATATATATATATATATATGGGACAGGGGGAATGGTAGTTCGCCCTGGGCGCCGGAATGGGTCGCTACGCCTCTGCGTGTGATACATGACATTGTGCTATGGTGTCAACTGACGAGACTAGACTCAGGCCACGAAAAATAAACTCAGAGAATTCAGGTACTGGGGTCAGTTGGATCAAGATGTCGGAATGTCGTTTGCTAAAACTTCTACAATAACCACACACTAGCCACATTAAACACACCATGACAAACTGAAGCTCCTCTAACCACAAAAAACGTGCTCATTTAACCACATGTAAATAACCGACTAAAAGTCTTACCTTATAACACTGGTCTTTGATCTCCCTACAGGTTCCTATCACTGACCACTGATTCAAACAACCCTTGACTTATGACAACCCCGTCCCCGAGTCAACAACCTAATTAAATGTACCACCTTCCCCCCCCCCCTCCACAACTAAGGGCTTTTGGTAGTTGCCAACATGTGTTCACAATTTGCGACATACAACCCTATCCCTAGCCCAACATTATTGAAATGAGCCTGAAAGACTACACCATATACCAGAAACTCTAGCCATTTAAATTTATTGATTTGGCTTAACCGGTTTTGGAAATGTTAGAAACGATTATTATATCTTCATGGAAGATATGTTAATAAAAAGATACAAAGTGGTGGTCTTGGCATTTTGAGGCTTTTCAGCTCTGTATTTTTTATATGTGACTCGAGATTATGTAGATGTTATATCACTTAAATGGTTGAAGTGGTGTATCGTTTTGTTATAAGGTGCAATATGGGGTAGCGTGTGGTGTGGTGTAGTGTTAAGTAACACTCGCTTTTTTTTTCTGCTTAGAATTTATGGGTGAAAAAATGGATACGTTTGGCTTATAATATTCCTACAAAAACAATATAACACATTAAAAATGTTTGTATACGTTCGATGCTGAACTTTAAGTCCCATTGTTTTTGTAGTCGATGATTTTAGCGGTCCCACATTTTTTATCATACAAAGGGCTGGGGGAAGTCTATGAAAATGTTAACGTATGCTGTACGCAGGTAAGAGGCAGGTTGGTAAATATCCTGTGTTGTGTTTGTTTTGTGTTTAAATATTTGATAGTTTACACTGGACAATGGGGGTGGTGAGGACACGTATGGTCAGACTGGATAGGGGGGGGGAGTGGAGGGGAACGTCCGATTAACGGGGTGGGGGTGATCGGACTGTGGCTACAGAAGAGGAGGGCCGGGCGAGGTGTTGCGCGTGTCATGCCGGATCCCACCGGTTCAGCTCGCCATTCATTAATTGTAAACAGCGTCACGTGGTTGTTGTCAATCCTTAGAGCTTGTTTACACAAATGGAAAATTTCGCCAGATTTCGGCAACAATTGTTCTGGCACAATCAATCCACACCGCCAGTTCTGTTTGGGTTTACGCATTTTACTGAAACAAATACACAAAGACAGAGATTTTAAATATTTATTTACTTACCTAAGAGTCAGGACTTAACACACATAAATTAGTCCATTGATTTTGGTGTGCAGTTGGTGTTTTCTAAATAATCTTTATTGTCACTTTTCGTAAAAAAAAACCAACTGTATCAAATAATATTCACAGATTCTTAAGCGACTAGCCTAACAACAGCAATCTCCGAATAACGAACGCCACCGACAGCTCCTGTTAGATACGGTGAAGTTCCAGTGGTGGAATCGATGCGGTAAGACTGATCGCGGCACGGCGACACAAAAAAATCTAACACCGCCACTCATCGTCCGGCGTCTTACCGTCATTTTTTTTTTATATTAGCCTACACAGATTTCTTCCACCGCGGTAAAAATACGTGGGGTGGAAATATTGACTCGTCACCGCCTAGCAGTCTCCCGCCGCGTCACGCACCTGCGGTCTCGGTGAGACCGTGATCGTCTGCAACGCAGTGTGTCGTTGACATGCGAGTAACGTTTAGCGATACGTTTCTTTACTCACTCTCTTATCTGGTGACCTGGTGATTAATTTGTTTACAAGTGTCTGAACATGGTAGATGCTGTGTGCAGTAGTTTTTGTATTGTAAACATTATAGCTCTCAGACTAATTTCTTTGTTGTGCTGAATATAAACCTATCTACTCACTCTACGATTTTACACACATTTTCTTGGGTTACAATGTCCCGTTCCAGTCTTGTAACTCAGTTTGGATCCATTTCTCACTAAGCGCTTTTTTTTGCAGATAAATGTATCACCGTTAACAATGCAAGAATATCTTATTTTCACTTTTCAGTCTAATTAAATAGTCTTTAAAAATTGACTAAAAGATCAATTTATTTATAAATGATGGAGATAACTATGTAGTACAAAATGTAGACATATATATATATATATATATATATATATATATATATATATATATATATATATATATATATATATATATATATATATATATATATATATTGTTTAATTCCATTATCATATATCCCCTTTTGTAGCAGAACTATTAAAGCGGCGATTGGCAAGAAGTAAATTAAATTGTTACATAACAAAAAAATAAAAATAAAATAAAAAATAATAGCAAATCGATTCGAAACTTGATTTTTTAAAGCAAAATGTTTTATTTGAGAATAAAACTTTATCATAATTCAAAAAAAATTAAGAAGGCCTATTAAACATAAGTTAAAACACAACTACACCAAAAACAACAAATTACACAAAGGAAATAAATAACATTTGCTAAAAATACAATAAGATAATGTTAAAAAAAACAAGTATTCAGTTAAAAACAGCAAACTATTTCAGCTGATTGTGTTGGTGAGAATGCCAAAGCATCAACCGCTTACAATATTTGCCAGATTTCACGTACATTACCAATAGGTAGAAACTAGAACTTAAAAGGAAAACGAAAATAATTTTTTTTAAACTTTTTAGTGTATATTTATTTATATGCTTTGGGAAACTGGTTGATCTATTTTTAAAAAAATGAGATTTTCTTTTTTAAGATGGAAGCTTTCTTTTTTCTTTAGTATCACACGGATACAAATGGCAATTGTACAGGAACTCTTCTTCGAAATGGTTAGGTTAACCAAATCCATAGTTTCTTATGCTTTGCTTACATAGCCTATTGCTACTCCCCCTTGATAAGCCGAACCCTACTACTCCCACTTGATAAGCCGAACCCTTCTACCCCCCCCTTGATAAGCCGAACCCTTCTACTCCCCCTTGATAAGCCGAACCCTACTACTCCCCCTTGATAAGCAGAACCCTATTACTCCCCCTTGATGAACCGAACCCTTCCACTCCCCCTTGATAAGCCGAACCCTACTACTCCCCCTTGATAAGCCGAACTCTATTACTCCCCCTTGATAAGCCGAACCCTTCTACTCCCCCTTGATAAGCCGAACCCTATTACTCCCCCTTGATAAACCGAACCCTATTACTCCCCCTTGATAAACCGAACCCTTCTACTCCCCCTTGATAAACCGAACCCTTCTACTCCCCCTTAATAAGCCGAACCCCTCTACTCCCCCTTGATAAACCGAACCCTTCTACTCCCCTTCCCTTGATAAGCCGAACCCTATTACTCCCCCTTGATAAGCCGAACCCTATTACTCCCCCTTGATAAGCCGAACCCTATTACTCCCCCTTGATAAGCCGAACCCTATTACTCCCCCTTGATAAGTCGAACCCCATTACTCCCCCTTGATAAGCCGAACCCTTATATTGTGTAAAATGTAACCAAACGCCTCGAAACTTGGCCGCCACATGGAGTCGAGGATAATCTGGAGAAAAGCTTTCAGACAGCTGAAGTTAATCTCACAGGCTTTGGTCAAGGGGCGGCAGCACCAGATGGTACAGCAGGACAGCAGGCCGAAGTGGAGGCCCCAGAACACGGCCAGGGGCACGGCACAGACCAGGGTTAGGACCCTGTAGGACCAGAGCTTCGTGCCGTTGAACACCTGAGGACAGAAAGGTGACGTCATTTCATCAGCTAAACTGTTGGGTTTGAACCGCAGGAACAGGTGAAAAGGGAAAGTGTTTATATTATTATGGTCTATTGGTGATCATTTAATAAGACATGCACATTTTATTATAACGCAGTGGGGACATGGATGATTTAGTGTAGTGTTATTAAACACTGCTTTAGAATACGTTTGTGTTCTTCAAGTTACATGCTGATATTTAGAAAGATTGAATAGATACGTTGACTTTTGTGGCTTACACTTTTTTTTAAATCTATCACAAGATGCAATTCAAGGTGCTGAATGGGGGGGGGGGGGGGGGTTGGGAAGGGGGGGGGGGTACATAATAAATTAAAAAAAACATGTTTTTGTTGTACTTTTTCAGTTTACTTATTGATTTTTCGAAATGCTAATTGTTTCTATCAAAGAGGTGACGATGTGGTCGAATGGTAGAACCTTCGACTGCTAACCCTAAAATCCTGAGTTCGGGTCGTGGGCTGAAGTCTGACTTGAGTACATCCAGCGCTGGGCGGCTGGGCATAATGCACACCACGCTACCCCCTTGTATGCTGAGGTCAGCGAAAGAGATGAACTCTACTTCATCTGCCCCATGTGTCTTGGGCACTAGCGGGAAATGCTAACGGGTGTGTAAGGTAGAGCACGGTTTAGGGAGGTAGATCTATGTGGAGGAGGTTGTGGGGAGTTCGGTTAATCATCAACCAGGGACCCCTGAATTATCAGCCAGGGACCGGCTAATTAAAATAAGGGGCCTTCTCAAGCACACTTCAACCCGCCACCACCCAAAGTGCTATCAACAACAACAACAACATCCAATGCATAGGCTGGATCTAATAACATAACCATTTATCTGTAATTAAGCTCAAACCAAATACTGCTGGGTACTCACACAGATGCTGAGCGCCCAGACCGAGTCGAAAGAATAAACTGTCTGGTGTGGCTCTGCGAAGATCTCTTCAAACGCCACCTGTAGGAACATACAACATCAACATGTTTACTACAAGCTCGGGTTCCAAACCCACTCACACCGACTAGCAATACAAACACACGTTTTAATCTAAAGCTTTTCACTGAAAGCCCTATCATCGTGTCAGGAATTTCTACACTAGTGATACATCAAGATGAATAGAACATCATTCCTTTGTGCTGGTGCAATATTTATCTAGTACAGAAATTAGTTACACATGTGAACCAGAGTTACGACAACGCGATAAACAGGAAAAAAGGGGGTTAATACTAACATTGTGACGTCACTGAGACACCGTAACATCACGGTCTCCACAGACCCTGTAACGTCACAGTGGCGAAAGAACGTCAAATTGACAAGAACCATCACAAGGACTTTGAGACCAGTGTTTCTTCCAAACTTTTTTCTCCGGGGGGGGGGGGGGGCACTTGAAATTTGAAATTTTCGGGGAGGGGCGGTCTAAAATTTGGGGGAGGGGGCGGACACTGTTAAAAGTATATATTTCTATATAAATTCCATTTCATTCGGGGGACGGTAGACTTTTTTTGGGGGGGGGGGGCTCCGTCCCCCCCCCCCCCGAAGAGATGCCAGGAAGAAACTCTGTTTGAGACGCCACACGGATACCATGACGTCTCGCTGACTCCATGACATCACACACACGCGTAATGACGTCACACTGACACCATTACGTCACAAATACACCACGACGTCACTGACCTTGACATGGGCGTTGACCATTTCCGGGTCGCGACTTGCCTCGTCAGCGGGTGCTTTCTCTCCGGGTTCGTCACGTGACTGACCCAGGTTCACCTGCACTGTCGCCTCTCCAGGGTTCATCTCGCCACAGGTGTTGATTAATTAATCCAAATACTCGCCTAATGTATGCACGTGCAGAGTATCCAGGCGTCTAGAATCTACAACTCAACACACCATCTCCTGCAGTCGTACAGTCGTCTGGTCCACACTGCACCAGATTACAGACACGCCTCGGCTGCTGGCACAATGGTGACGATGTGTTCCTAATTCGTACAACTTGATACTGTCCCGCCCGGGGGCGGCCATCTTGGGAAGACAGATAAGCCCCCCCCCCCCCCTAATTCGTACAACTTGATACTATCCCGCCCAGGGGCGGCCATCTTGTGAAGAGAGATAAGTTCCCCCCCCCCCCCCAAAATTCGTACAACTTGATACTGTCCCGTCCAGGGGCGGCCATCTTGTGAAGACAGATAAGTCCCGCGACTTGTCTCGACTAGCTGGTGTAAGTTTTCGAAAAATCGTCTTAACCTTGGCTCTAATCATTGTACCACGTGACCTGTGGGACCCCGCTGTTATCGTCTTCAAAGTTCTGCAGTTTTGTCTCACGCTCAACAGGCTGGTGGGGGGGGGGGGGGGGGGGGGGTGGGGGGTGGCTTTCTTGTTCGCAAGCGACAGACACACTTGTATTGGCAGACTTTTGTTGTACATCTACGCCTTCCAACAGACTTAAGTCTGCATTAGTACTGACCAGTGTTTCTTCCAGCTTTTCTCGGAGGGGGGGGGGGGGAAGGGGAGGTGTGAGGGACACTTGATATTTTCGGGGGTGGGGGTGGGGGTGGCGGACACTGTTGAAAGTATGTTTTCTATATAAATTCCATTTCATTTAGTGGGGCGGTAGACTTTCTTCGGGGGGGGGGGGGGAGATGCCTGGAAGAAACACTGGTACTGACAGACTTTTGCTGTGTTTGTATGTTCGACCTATCTTTGTCTTACTCGTTCACTTACTGATATACTTAACGTTTACTTATGGTTCTTAAATAAACTAATATTTTGTTATATTGGTATGGCTAAAGCTGAATGCTATTTGAAATTTATTCTATAAATGGTGTGTGAGTACGAATGGTGGGGGAGATGAGGGTTGTAATGAATCCTAAACCGTTAGGTGAGGGGGTGACACCAGGCAAAAAAAAATCAAACTAGAAAAAGAAATGCTTTTTTCTCCACTTCGATTAATTATTAATCAGTTTACAAATTGACAATTCTCAACAGGGAGGGGGCGTGACTCTATGACATAAATGTGCTGATTATATAGAAAACAATGCTGGATGATTTGGATCCAGGTTAATTAATAACCAACTATAAAAAAAAACCATTGTAACTATTAACAGATTGCAGTTTAAAGCAATTACACAGAGTGGGGCTAGGGTGACACCAATTTTATACAACAAACAACGTATTATCTATCTAACTAATCAAAGTTAAATCAGCACCGTCAAACGAAAGGAGACTAAGGTAACACCGTACTGGGAATTTGCTAATCGACATATCACACGATGAGTAATCATGGTTGCTATATAGACTATCACTGATCAGACAATGTTAAATTCCTCATGATATGATCTAGGCCTACAACAGTTGCCGAGTGTGTGTATATATAGATGTGTGTGTGTATATATGTGTGTGTGTGTGCGTGCGTGCGTGCGTGTGTGTGTGTGTGTAAAAGGGTGGGGTTGACACAAACAAAAATTTGTAAACTTCGCCCTTCGCTGTCGGTTGGCTAAGTAATTTTGTGGTTAAGCGTCATGGCGAAAATCTCACATTACTAGATAATTGATCAGGCTTGACACCTTTTTTCTGTCGGTTCTTTTTGTTTTTATGAGAGAGGGAATCCTAAAAGACATTGTTTTTAACTTTCTTTGTTAATATGAGTAGGAATACCAGATTGCGAATACAATAAATTAGAAATAGTATAGATCTAGATCTAGATCTATTAGCTAATTTTTCCAGATCATTATTGGGTATCCCTCGTACAGTACCAGAAATAAATCTAGATCTAATGTAATGGCCTATTTTTATAATCATACTATTTCACGAAGTTGCGTAATATTTATCTTGCCGAATCTTGCGTCACATAGATGTAGATCTATGTTTCTCAGTATTATTATAACGATATCAAATAATTTTAACTTAGCCCTGTAATGCTAAATGAAATGGGCAAGATTAAAAAAAAAAGGGAGAGCACAATAGTTGGAAGCCTATTTGAGTAGGCTAATCATTATTCATTCAAGCCTTCTTTAGCCTATGTCGGAAGTTCATGTTTTTAATGTTACAACTATTGAAAATGGCGACTTGCTATGTTTACAAATATTGAAACGTGGCTGAATATAATGTTACATTTAAAAAGCTAAGTAGGTACTAATGAAGTCAGAGCGCTTACATTTTATTACAATTGCTATGATTCATTACAAAAATGTGTTAAAACTTGTCTTGACAAACTTTTAAGCAGCATAACAACTAATTAACAACATATGAAAAGAAAATTGATTTCAGATGTCTGGAAATCGCCAGTGAAGTGTGGAGTGGATGTAATCTAGAAATCTTATCTTAGATTAGTAAGATTAGATCTAGATCTAGATCTAGATCTAGATTTCTACATCTACTTTAATCTAGTTTAAAAATCTGATCGATCTAGATCTAGAATAAATATGTAGATCTAGAGTAAAGTTCCATGCGCGGTCACACATAGCAGAAAATTCCAAATTCCCGATTTTCATCGGGCGCTATTTTATAACCGTTTCACACAGAAACAAACCCAAAGTACTATATTATTCCTCTGCCTTTCTACTCTTAATATGTATCAATCATTTTATATTCCTACGTATTGAATTTGAGATATTCATGTTTTAATGACGTGCTACTTAGTACTTGCGATATTTTTTTACCCTCTTTTTTTTTCCCTGCGGCCATCTGAACCGGCTGCGTAACGATCGTGTTTTATACGTTTTAATCCTAGTTTAATAAATAAAATTAATATTTTACACTTTTAAACGTGTTGTTGATTGTATTATTAATTAATAGATTTCAAAACCAAATTAAAAACATGTTAATTAAATTAATTAACGACATTAAAAGTTGACCCAGTGATGACTCAAGGGACGCAACTATAATAATCATAACAAAGGGACGTAACAACCACTGACAAGACTTAACGTAACATTTGCTTAGATATGCTTGTATGTAGAGACACAAACTAGATTTAGAAGAAGTAGATGCTCGAAATAATTTAAAATAGCAGAAAAAAATAGAAATTATACAGATTCTAGGCTTAGCTTGAAATGTAGAGCATCTAGAACTAGGCTAGTCTAGCTCAAGTCGTTGGTTACGCAGCGCGGTGAAACCACCCAAATCGACACCCAAGCTGCGGCCACCCCTATTCACCTATCAGGTTGCTTTATTAGCCTTATCTATCGTATGTATAGTGTCCCGCACATATTGTAGAAGCTATTTATAGTTAACCTAGTTATAAAAAGCTTTGATAGGTTGGTTTATTCATCTCATCCGGGACCTAGTGTTTTTCATATGGGGAACTAGAATCGCCTACGACGTCATACCTCGAAACTTTAAAATTTAAAAACTCGACTTCCAGAAGGAGAAAAACAAAAGAATTTGACCTGGATATATTTAGAAATGGACAGGTTTACAGCAGATATCGGTAGTTTCGTATAAAACATCAAAACAAATATTGTACGAAGCGATAAACAGGCGATGGCCGCACCGGTGTTTTAACCGCGCGTGGAACTTTACTCTAGATCTATAAATTTACTATAAAACTAATAGAATACAGTATACAGTGGTTGTCAATGTCAATGTCAGTAGAGTATGAGTAGCCCCCTACCCTACACACTACACTCACTGACACTACAGCCCTACCACATAGACTTAGATTGACTTAGATCTCTAGTTCTTAGTAAAAAAATCTAGGCACCTACTCCATCTAGTGACTTGGTGAACTAAAAATAGTGCTAAATCTAGGACTAAATTGCGAGATGCAAAAAGGGAATGACGAGGCGGTAAAATGTGGTAAGAAAATGCGAGACTTACCTGCAGTGAGTAATATTATGGGTAGAGATCTAGATCTACATTAAAGTAGCAAGACACAATTAAGAAGAAGACATTTCTTTTGTTTCATATTAAACTTAAAGTCTGCATCAAAGTTTTTGTAAATCATCAGTACATTGGACTTTTGGCTGCTGTAAAATTTTCGCAGATATCAGTGCATTTTACCCCCATAAAGCTTACTAATCCAATGGGGGAAAATGCTGGACAAGTGTCATGTCACTAGTACTTTTTAAACTCATCTTGTGTGTTTTCCTACATTTTACCAAGACCCAAAAAAATTATAGCCTTGGATCTAGTTTTTTTTTATCTAGTTACTAGTAGGTCCAGACTTAGATAACAAAACTCATAATTAGGGGCCTACCTATAGGCCTAAATTTATTATTTATTATTTAAGCCTAGGGGGTAATAATTTAATACATTTTTATTTAAGTTTAAGTCCTTGGTACATACAGTTTTTTTTTTATAATAGATAGACACTTTGACATTAACACATTGTGCTGGTGTTAAACTTGAGATGACTGTCCACCAATGTTTCCATAAGAAAATGTTACATATTTCTGTTTTTAATCACTTGTCTCTTCTATTCTAAGGTAAACATGGATGAAATGGCATTACAAGGTCTAGCAGCTCTGGCTATGGCTCCAGATGCTGACTCACAGAACAGGGTAAGTTTGTTATATTAGCTGTAGGCAGCATTGGTTTAGCTTGTTGTATTAGCTGTAGGCAGCATTGGGTTAGCTTGTCGTATTAGCTGTAGGCAATACCTGGTGTGAATTTTGATCCATGTACTGACTGTTCATTTCTCTCTTAGGCAGTGCAATGTGTTGAGCAGCTGAAACAATCTGAAGAAGGTTGGAAAGTTTGTGCTCAAGCATTTACAAGTGGAACCTATTACCAGTATGTGTTGGTTTCATTGACAGACATTACAGTTTCTCATTGGTTTTATTGACAGGTTAAATGTTACAGTAGTTTTTGTGATTGGTGAAGTTCATTCATCAAATGGGGCGGCCACTTGTGTGTATTGGTTTAACTGGAAAAAATGAGACTGCTAGTCTAGAGCTAAAATGTTGAAGATAATCTAAAAGTTTTTTGCATTTGATATCCTGCTCTGGAGACAAAACTAAATTTAGGGACTTTAATCAATGAGTTCATTAGTGCCAGGGATAGTTGACAGCCTCAAGTTCTGATGACTGGCTTGAGTCAATTATTCATCAATGAGTCCACCCACTGTCTGGGTAGCTGACTCAAATAAAGAAGAAATGTCTGCGTAGATTGCTTACCACACTACCCTTTCACATGTTGAGAACAGAGAAATGTGAACTCTACTTCATCTGCCATAAAAACTTCTGGTTTGAAGGAGAACTTCACTGTACTTAAATTATTTCACTGGAAAGATATGAATACTTTACCAGGCTGTCAAAACTTACAGTATCATGATGTAATCAGCTCTGTTGTGCTGATCCCATTGTTTTTTACATGTGTAGATAAAATGTTGATTACTCATATTCAAAGAATATTTTTTAATTTTTTTTTAGGAACGATCATGTCAAGTTTTTCTGTCTTCAAGTTTGTGAACATTTTGTAAAATCGCGGTAGGCTATTATTCTTTACATATTTATATTATTGAATGGTTTTTCTTTTGCACTTACATTCAAATATTGTCTTTTCTCTTTAAATCCAAATCCTCTGTAGAATTAGAACATAATTTTTTGTTAAAACTATATATTTTTCAAGGATCAACAATTCTATTTGTAAAGCAAATTTTTTTTGTTTAGATATCAGCAAACAAGTGCGGGGAACATTGATTTTATGAAATCTTTCATACAAACATGCTTGGAGATGGAGGTTTGTTTTTGGATAGAAATGACTTTTATTTCATCAAAATTTTTTACTGTAAAGATTTAATTTAGTTGTGTATTCTGCATAACATAAACGTCTGGTCTGCTTCGATAAAAAATTTTTTTTACCCAAGTACTATAAATTAATTATTAATTTGAGACCATGAATTTATTTCTGAACTATTTGCAAAATGCTAGAATTTGATTTTTCTCTTCTCTAGTCCAACGCAGCATCTGGCAGCAAACACTTCATCAGGAACAAACTGGCCCAGCTGATCTCGCTAGTGTTTGTCACAGACTTCCAACATAGGTGGACCACATTTTTCTCAGACATGCTCTCAACTCTAGCCCGTGGTCCTCTAGCTGTGGACATGTACTTGAGGGTTCTCATGGCCGTTGATGCTGAAGTGGTTGACAGAGACATTGCTCACACCACACAGGTTGGTTCATTAGTGCCTTAACATGGGATCCTTCAATGTATGAGTTAGTGGAAAGGTTTTGTGCTAATATGTTTAAAGCAATAATATACATTATGTAGGAAGCTCAAAGAAATAATAATGTGTTGATTAAAAGAAATCATTGTACTTAAAGAGATTATAACATGTCAAAAAAAAAAGAAAGCAATGCATATTTTATTTGTAGGAAGTTCAAATAAATAATAATGTGTTGATTAAGAGGAATTAATTTATGTTTTGTAGGAAGCTCAAAGAAATAATCTGATCAAAGACGCCATGAGGGAGAGGTGTGTGAATGCACTGGCAGATTCTTGGTACCAAATTATGGTGAGCTGATCATTTTCTAGTCTAGCAATCTTAGTATCCTGTCTTGAGAAACATTTAGTATTATCTACTTCTCATAACATAAAAAAAATACTTTCTAAGTTGTTTTCCTCCATTGTTTTAATATTCAGAGCCCTGCTTTAAAAAATAAACTTATACCAAGAATAGAAACATTATTTTAAAACCTATATTTTGTCCCTCCTCTAGACTTCGTACGAGGCCTCTAAACCTGAACTTGTTTGTATGTGTCTGGAAGTTGTTGGCCGTTATGTCTCCTGGATGGACATTGGATTCTTTGCAAATGATAGGATGGTTACACTTTTGCTGAAGTTTTTAACCCTGGAGCCTGTGAGAGAAGCTTCTTGTGATTGTATCCATGAGATCATCAGCAAAGGCATGGAGCCAGTGGCCAAGACAGCCCTGACTGAGTCTTTCATGTCTGTCTTGGAGTCAGCTGGCATCTTTAAAAATGAGGTTTCTAACACATAATTCACCTGTCCTTAATTATTTTTTGTCGTAGCATTAATACAAATTTAAAAACTAGTAAGTAGCACATATTTCAGCTATTCTTAATTTGATTTTTTTGTTTGTTTTGTACACTTTTAAGGCTAAACTTTTTTGTTTTCTCAGTGTGATGACAGTGAATTTTTATGCAAACTGTCCAAGCTTATAAATGGCATTGGTCTTGGTCTCATTGCTAGTTGGCAAAAGTAAGTATTTCAGCTTAAGACATTTTAACAGGCTAATGTAAAGGATTCTCCAATAGGCTTTGAGATATTTACCTCACTCTCATATGTTCTATTATTTGTTTTTATGTAGTTTTGCGTAAACTCATGGCAAATAATTTTTATAAAAAATTACAAACATTTTTCCTAATAGTTAATTCTATTTTCATTGAACGTAATTTATCATTCATTCACTAATAATATTTATCCTGATCAAGCACCTAAATATTATTTAACAGGTTGTCTAAAAATGGTGTCTGTAAAAACTCTGAGACAACATTAGCAGCTCTGGAATCAAAGCTACCTTACATGCTGAGGTTTCTGGGGGATGAGGATGATGATGTCTCAAGTGCTGTCATTGAATTTGCTACAGAGTATATTGCCATGCTGAAGACCTTGCCATCAATGAATGCCAGTCAGAAGAAAAATATGGAGGTACAGTGAAATGTCAACATTTCCACACCAAGACTTATTAAATGTTTTCAAGTTGCATCCCTTGCTTGCAATAGAATATTCCTCTAAATTTAACTTTTATTTTATTTCTATGTTTAGGGTTTGCTTTTTACCATCATCAAGAAGCTAAAGTATGATGAGGGATACCAGTTTGAGAAAGAGGTATTACAGCAAAATTTTTCTTTCATAGTTGGGTTTATTGTTGTACTTATATCTAGTAAAATATTCTCATTTTTTTTAATTTTGAAAATAAAATTCCATTAGTCAAGTTATTTTTTAAATGAATTACTTTACAACGTTATCAAATGTAAATCATGATATTTTTTTTTATCTAGCCTGATAATTTGTCAGAAAGACGAAAGTTAAAAATAGACTTATTTTTGTAACTGATGCTTTAATAACTGAATTTCCCATCCACAGGGAGAGGAGGAGGCGGAGTTTCAGGAGTTCAGAAAACAAATTCGAGTCATTTTTAACAACATTGCTAGCTTGGTATGTAAAAATCTTTTGCTTGGTAGTCCTGTTAACCTGTGTTAACAATTTTTTATCAGTCCATTTGTAGACTGTAAGATAAGTAAATGATTTTGTAAATAGTTGCCTGAATAAACACATACTATAACTGTACTGTACCCCCTTATTGTACTGTCCCCCCTTATTGTACTGTCCCCCTGATTGTTTTGTACCCTGAATGTACTGTACTTCCTGATTGTACTATACCCCATGACTGTACTGTATCTCATTGATTGTATTTGTACAGGATCCCCAGATGATCTTGGTAAAGATCCATGAGCTGGTATGTCAAACACTGCCCAGATGGGAGTCTCTAGACTTCAGAGATGTGGAAGTGGCCATCACACTCATGTACAGCCTGGGAGAGGCCATCCCTGTAAGCATCTAGTTTTTAGCGCAATTTCCATTCTGGAGAATTGCGTTTATTAACTCGTCATTTCTGGGAATGGATGGATGGATGAATGTATGGATGAATGTGTGTCTGGGCTTTAAGTCGTATCTCCTCCTCAACGAAGCAATATCGATGACTAGTTCCAAAAGCAATTATGTTAAACAAGTTACGAGAATGAGCATAGGCCATAAAAATTCCGGGTTTCTTTCATGCATTTCCCGGAAAAGCCAAAAAACCTCGAAAAAAATCAGTTTTTGGCCCATATCTCGGCAACCAGACCACTTAGCGACTTGAAACATGTACCAATCTATTCCTGTCATAATTTAGAACAATATTGCCGAAGAAAGTTTTCAAAAATATCCTCTCGTTCGGTCACAAATTTTAAAATTACATAAACACCTACAAACCGATTGTTCTTCTAGCTTGAACGCACCCCACCATTATACGTCAGAGCTATTTTTAGATAACATAAGGAAATTGCGCACAAATGTCACTAGACTTTTTTAATTAACTTGTTTTTTGTTTTAAGTCTTTTTTTTAATTAACAATTTTTTTTTTTGTTTCAAGTCTTTGTTTAACTTACATTTTTATTTTTTTTGTTTCAAGTCTTTGTTTAACTGACATTTTTATTTTGACCCACAACCAATATGTTACAAGTTTGATTGACTATGTCACTATGCTGATTGGGACATGTATTATTTTACCATCAGGCATCACATGGCCAGCATTTCAGTGGAAACCCAGACAAGGCTTCAGCTCTACAGGGCATGATGAGAGTTGTAAGTTGGTCATCCACTTTTGTGCTTCTATATTTATTTCAATACTGAAAGCAATTAAAAAGTTTATTTGATCAAGAGTATAAAATATTTCAATCTTAAGGTATTTCCTTGGTTTCTTGTTATGTAAAAACTTACTTTTTTAAACTTTTTCTGCAGCTGATAACTAGTCAAGTCAGCAGACAGGGCCATATTGCTGTGTTGCTGCAGTTCTTTGAAACGGTTGTTCGTTATGATCGTTTCTTCGTCTGTGAACCTCAGCATATTCCTGACGTATTGGTGTGTTAACATTTTCAAATAGTCATAAGTCTAACACTTGTGTTTCTATTTTTGAATTTTAATGGTTGTAGAATGTGCCATCATGTCACTAATGTCTGTTTTCATGGAATAATGTTTAGATGGCTTTTCTGGATGAAAGAGGATTGCGTAATGGTTCCTCTAAAGTCCGCAGTCGAGTCGCCTACTTGTTTTTGAGATTTGTTAAAAGTACCAAGTAAGATATTTGTTGCATCATTATAGAATTTAACAATTACCCAACAATTACTATAGTAGCTGCTTTTGTTGCATCATTATAGAATTTAAACAGTTACCCACCATTTACTATAGTTTGTTGTTGAATAGCTGATGTGAGTGAAGTAGTTGAAACCATGTACAGACTTGATGCTAACACTCTTTATGTCTCCTCTAATGATAGTCTCTCCTGCCCCAGGACCCACCTGACCCCTTACCTGGAGGGGGTGTTGGAACAAATGCAAGACCTGCTAACAGTCAACTCCCCAGACAACGGTCTCAGCCATTCCCTGTCAGACAGTGACCAGCTGTTTATATACGAGACAGCCAGCACTCTGATTGTGTCGAGCTCTTTGGAGCCAGAGGTAAGAAAGCTCAGTTTGTATTCATTCTATTCAATAAATTCAGCTTACATGTCTACATCAAAATCCCATCTGATATCTCTTCAAACACTTCACAATTTTTGTTTTTATATTATATCCTTCTTCAACGTTTTTATACTTCATCTTTGTTAGACTTTAAATTTCAGGAAAAAATACAGGTTTTATGGCTTTTGATAAATTTTATTTGTTGATTTGAATTTCAGAAAAAACAGATTTTGCTGAAGCAGCTTTTGATGCCTATAGCTACCAAATTTAATGTGATGCTGACTAGACTTACAAAAGAACCAGATGAGAAGCGTCAACAAGCTTACGCTGATTGCATCCATAATGCTATTGCATTGGCCAGGTGAGCTTACAATTACTGCCTTGACTATTTTGCACTTTAATTGTGATGGTTGATTTATTGTTTAAGATAAGTTGGCCTATTTTAAAGACATATTATATATTTCTCAATGTCTTAAATGTTTGTTTCAGTCGTGCGAGTAAAGGTTTTTCTGGACAGCAAACAATGAAGCAATGTGGTTGTGTGTCAGCATTTACAGAGCTCTTGTCAATTTTCCTTGCTGCTCTTGAAGTCACCAACCAAAGGGCCTCACTACAGCAGGGCGTGCGCCAGTATTTACATAGAATGGTGTGTACTATTATTTACTATTATTGGTGGGGGGGGGGGGGGTGGGGGGGGGGCAACGGCATGGCCTAGCGGTAGAGAGCTAAACTGCTAACCCGAGAGTCACGAGTTTGAATCATTGTTTCTTCTAAGCTGCGCGGCCACACAGTAGTTTTGAGCTGCCGCACAGTCATTTTGTAAAATAAATATATCCTTGTCTAAGATGTTTAGAACACAGCAAAATACACTTTGTACACTAGCTTTTCCACCTTAGGGGGAACCTTGGTTTTAATCTTGGTTCAAATAAGTGGAATTTCTTTGAGTCTATCCAGCTCTGATGGGTACCTAACTCACATTAGGGAAACTGAGGTGGCTGGGCATAGTGCTTCATCTTCTGAGGTTTCTGAAGCAGATGAACTCTACTTCTTCTGCCCCATGTGTCTTGAGCACAAATGGGAAATGATGATGATTGGTGTGGGTGGTGGTGGGGTGTAGGTGTTGCTTGAAGTCACCAATCAAAGGGCCTCACTACAGCAGGGCGTGCGCCAGTATTTACATAGAATGGTGTGTACTATTTGTGTGTGTGTGTGGGGGGGGGGGGGGACGGCGTGGCCTAGCAGTAGAGAGCTAGACTGCAATCCCGAGAGTCTCGAGTTTGAATCCGGGTTCAAATAAGTAACATCCCTGAGTCCACCCAGCTCTGATGGGTACTTAACTCACGTTAGGGAAACTAAAGCGGCTGGACATAGTGCTGACCACGCTATCCCTTCATATTCTGATGTCTCTGAAGCAGATAAACTCTACTTCATCTGCCCCATGTGCATTGGACACAAATGGGAAATGATGATTGGTGCGGGTGGTTGGTGGGGTGTAGGTGTTGCTTGAAGTCACCAACCAAAGGGCCTCACTACAGTATTTACATAGAATGGTGTGTACTATTAATGTGGATGGTGTGTGTGGATGATAGTGGAGTGTTGGTGGTGTGTGGGTGTTGCAAGAAACTGTCAGCAATTAAAAAATTAAATGCTTCTCTAGTTGTTTCTCCTACAGTCATGAGCTAAGACAATCTGAAATATGTAAATAAAAACTTAATTTAAAAACCAACCAGGTTGTGTGTTTAGAAGAGGAAATCATGCCCTTCCTACCTGAGGCCATGGAAAGATTGCTGAAACAGCCAGATGCTAGGGAGCTCTACGACTTCTTGCCTCTTGTTAACCAGATTATTATGAAGTTTGGGGTATGTATTACCTCAATTTAGCACTACTTTTTTAAACAAAAAATGTTTTTTTAAAAATGGTTTGTTGTTTGAAAAAGAGGTTGAAACAGCTACTTTAAAATTCACCTTTATAAAATGAAATGACCAACAATCTGATCATTATAAATGCAATATTGTACACCATTTTTCAGGCCAACATATCACCCTTCCTCACTCAAGTTTTTATGCCTTTGGTAATGACAATTTACCAAGTTTTAAGTGCCCCATCTGACCACAATGACCACTGTTCAGCGGAGGAAAAGAAGCTTCTACAGAGAGGCTACTTCTTGTTTCTGTCCACCATTGTGTGCAACTGTGTGGATGTGTTGAAGGCACAAGGTGGATACTTGTTTGTTTATAGCATCTGCTCTGTTATATATTTAATCGACTTCTCATTTATTCTTAAGTTTTTCTTTAGCAAGACAATTTTTTTTCATCATTTGCCACTTAAGCTATTATAAAGCAGACTAGCTAGGTGATTATTAGGAGAAAAAAATTGAAATAAAATAGTGTTTACTTCCAATATGAATAAACAGGTTAAATTTGTTTATCATTTGTCACTTAAGCTATTAGCAAGCAAAAACTAGTTGCTTTTTAGAAATAAAATGAGAAACAAGTTAGAAAAAATATTAGAAATCAGTTTTCTACTTAAATGAATTGAGTGACATGTTCACAGCACTAGTCCATATATGATGTTTTATTTTTTGATCCATTTCTTGTCACAGAACTACCCAACTTGACTCAGGTGCTCATGTCACTTATCCATGGGGCAGTGGAGCTGCCTGATCCTCAGGTAAATAAAGAAAGTAATTACATTTGTTGATTTGACAGAATACATTCACAGTTTATAAAACAGCATGTTTAACTTGTGGTTTTCTATTATACAGAGCCAGAAATGTTGTTTTTCTACATTGAAGAAGCTGGTTGAAATTTGGGGTAAGCTTACTCATCTTGCAAATCACATCAGAATTTTAAAACTTTAAGAAACAAACACATTTTAATGAAAAATTTAAATATTTTTTTCAGGTGCTAACGATACCTTACCTGGGTTTTCTGAGTTTATTTACAAACAGATTGTGCCTGCTTGTTTTTTGGCACCCATGAAGCCAACCTTTGATCTTGCTGATGGACAGACAACTCTGGTATATTTTGTTATTTTGTTTACTAATGTATTAAAAAAAATGCAACGGAATAGTATGATCTACAATAATTTTTTTATTTTTTAAGTGCATTAAATGAATTTAAATTTTTTTTCTTAAAACTATTATGTTACAAAAAAGTTATTGAATTTAAAATAATTTTGTAAAACTTTTATTATAAAAAAATTGGATGTTTTGGTGGTTTAAAACTAACGAGAATTTTTGCATTACTAGGTCTTGGGTGAATGTGCATCTTGCATGCAAGAGATTTTACAGAAACGGGTAAGCCACATTCTAATAATGCGCGATGTATTTTTGTTGTAACAACTTCCTGTACTAATTGCATATTAAAAGTTTTTATTAGGTCATTAATTAAGCGTTTGACATAGTGTGAATAATAATGAGACAAGCAAAAATTATGCGGAATCTATCAAGGCAGACCTGCAACTTATTATAATTTACTATCTCATAAGTTTATAAATATTCAAAAAGTAATTGTAAAACTTGATGTTGCTTGATAATTAAACTAAAAATTCAATCTTTTCATTTCAGGGTCAAGAGTTCTTGGAGTTTCTTAAATCAGATTTTTTCCCATCTAAGGGAATTAGTCAGGAAAATGGTGTGGTGAGTATCTTATCAAGTCTTAAATGTCATACCCCAAGTAATTGAAATAAAGTACCCTTCAAACCTTATGGTCCAGTGGGCAGATGAAGTAGAGTTCACCTGTTTCAATTACTTCAGCATAAGAAGGGATAATGGGTCAGCACTATGCCCAACTGCCCACCTAAGATAAGGATCTAAACTCAAGATTTTTGGGTTATCAGTCTAACATGCTACCATTTGACAACACTGTCCAATTGTTGTGCCTTAGCTGTAAATAAATGTACAACCTGCAACTTGATTATGTCTATATCATCTTTTGTACGTAGCAAACCTAGAAACTTACTTATCCTTATTTCTTCAGGTGTACATAGCAAACTTACAGACAGACATCAAAACTTTCAGGTCATGGTTAAAGGTAAAACATGCTTACATCAAATTTTAACTGACGTTTTAACATTAAAATTTTTAAATTTAGAAAGGTTGTTTTTTTTTGCTATCAAATAAAAGATGTTTCTAGAGCAATAGGCTTACTTATCTGATCAAAATTTCAGCTGATTTCTTTTGCATGAAAAGTTTATAATTACATACTCGATATTAAAAATTAAGATTTATTACAAATATAGTTTATATAGCTTGCTCTAAAAATAAATTGAACTCCTACCTGTTTCTGTTTAAATTTTTATGCTAATAATAGTATGTTTTGATTTAATTTCAGAAATTTTTCTTGCAAGCCAAATCGTGACCTTAGGAAAATGTAGATGTAGAGTCAGTGAATTTGTTCTAGAACCACACACATGTACATAATTCAATCTCTATTCACTAGGTGTACATTTGATTCTTGCTTTAAACAATGTTATTTAAATTTTACAAGTTGTCTCTTTGTTATTCTAACTAGTGATAACATTCTGTGGTGTGATTCATGAGCTCAGCTATGTTCATATGATACGTTTTGTCATTGTGTTTTCTGACTTGGTGATCTGTGTATGATGTATGATGTGTGACTACATTTACTAGCTTGGTGATGTGTATGATGTATGTTGTATGTCTACATTTACTGGCTTGATGATGTGTAACTACATTTACTGGCTTGGTGATGTATGTTGTGTGACTACATTCACGGCTTGGTGATGTGTGTATGATGTATGTTGTGTCACATTTACTGGCTTGGTGATGTGTGTATGATGTATGTATGTATGTTGTGTCACTACATTCTGGCTGGTGATGTGTGTATGATGTGTGACTACATTTACTGGCTTGGTGATCTGTGTATGATGTATGTATGTTGTGTCACTACATTCTGGCTTGTGATGTGTGTATGATGTGTGACTACATTTACTGGCTTGGTGATGTTCGTATGATTTGTGACTATACTTACTAGCTTGGTTATGTGTGAACTATAAATATGTTTGAATGATTTCTGGTGTAATTTTTTATCTATCTACAGCGGCAGTTTCCAAACTGACTTTGGCAAATAGTTTTACAACTAATAACATAATGCCTAGAATAGGTAATTACACTTGCCTTCAAAGAATTTGCTATACCATTGTTAAATTTTGATATTTCCTTTATTTAGTTTCAAAATAGATTGATTATGGGTGGTTGATTCCTTTGAAATTTAGACCCAGGTTAGGGGTCATCCATTTATGACGTGCATAATGTTAAAATTTTTTTTGACCCCCTGTCCCCCGAAATCCACTTAATTCCCTTTTAAAAGTCCATCTTTTTTTTTCGGACCCCCCTCTGTGTGGACGTCAAAAATGGATGACCCCTTATGGTTTGTACTAATAACTAGAAGCATTTGGATAAGAAGGTTTTAGTTTTTCATGGGAGATGCAGTCACAAAAGTTTTGAAACTGCTGGTTTAGTTTATTCATCAGACATGCATTGCAAAAAAAAATTGATTAAGAAAATGAAATTCTTATGTTTTTATAAGATGAAGGAAAAATTTTAGTCTCAGAAGTTAGCCCAGTTATGTTGAGGGCTAAGATAACTCGTGACAATTCATCAAATCTGGTTAAAAGGACTTAGTTATATTTTATTACATTTTTTTTTACTAGTAGTCAGAAATTTTGTTTGTGCTTTTTCATCAGTCACATACCCCTAATTTCTATTTTTAATGAATACTTTTATCTCAGAATTCTTCCATGTTTTTAAATGCAGCATTCAGTTGGAGTGCTGGTCTACTCAAGAGTCTAGGGTAGATTTGTTTACACATTGTTTCTAATTATGACTAAAAAGCTATTTTCCCTCTTTTTAAATGTACAGAACAGAATTATTTTATCAAAATTGTTTGAAGTAAAACAATTGTATTTTGTTACCCGTGAACAGTTTTTAACAAGTTGTTAATATGATAAAAAGAAAGTTATTTTAAAAATGATAAATAGCATCTTATAGTGTTTAAATACTCAAGCTACTGGGTGTGGGTTTTCCAGAGTTGCTGATGTGAATGACAGTACGACAACATGACCTATTTTTGCTGATGTGAATGACATATGTGCTACATGGCCCATATTTCCATGGTGAATGATACAAGTGCAATATGGCCCAGATATGCTGGTGAATAAGTGCTAAATATGCTAGGTGAATGACAGTAGGGCAACATGGCCATATTTGTTGGGTGAATGACATAAGTGCTGAATGGCCCAGATATGCAGGTGAATGACAAGGGCATTATGGGCCAGATTAGCAAGGTAAACAACTGAAGGGCTACCTTTTATAAGATGTGCTGTCAGTATGGTCCTGGTACCATTGAACACACAGGTATTTTGTCTTAAATGTGTGAGACAACATGATAATGCAATATTTATTTTTTGTTGCTCAAGACCTCCTCACAAGAGATGATTGTAGGCAAGTTTCCATTGTTAATTCACAGATTGAGGCAACAATCTTTCAGCTCTGTTTGCTACTTAATATTGCAATAATTTTGTCATAATCAAAGTGGAATAAAAAGTTATGTCCCATGTCTCAGTTCAAATGTATTGAGTTTTTTCTTTAATTATATGTTTTAGAAATGTGTGATTTGAGCAAAAAAATAAATTTTAACTATTGGGCAGAATTAGCTACGGAAGTTGAGGGATACTGATTCTTGTGTAGCATTGAAAATATATCTTAAATTTTTTACAATCCTTTAAATTAGCATTTTCTTTAATTATGATACAAAGTTTTAGAAGCCAAGAAACTGCTTGCTGAAGAAATTTACAAAAGCTTATAGAAAACTTTCTTAGATTTTACATTTTGAGGGAATATAGAAAACATAATCTGGCAATTTGGATAAAATCAACAAAAACATTTTACATTGGTCATAACATTTAATATTATACATGGAAGAAATTACATCAAATACACAGCTGCCTATTTACATAATAAAAAATTCTTGTAACAAAACTTTCATCATGTACAAAACCAGTTTCACTAGTAGAAGTTAAGTCAACTACAAAACAAGACTTTCATAGCCCAGCCATCAACACTTTCAATATCCAGTCATCCAACTAAACCTTCAGACCCCAGTCATCCAACTAAAACTTTCAATATCCAGTCATCCAACTAAAACTTTCAGACCTCAGTCATCCAACTAAAACTTTCAATGTCCAGTCATGAACAAAACTAAAATTTCTGAGCCCAATCATTTACAATTTCTTGTTCCTGTCAGACCCCCACCATTTCTCTGGCTTCCTCTTCCTCTCCTTGCAGACTGTCCGACGCATATCTCTGCATTAGTTCCATTTTCTTTCTGTGTATCAAAGCTTCTTCAATCTGCACAACAAATTTAAAGTTCACAAGTTAAATGGTGCTAATAAAATAATACAATCCATTTATTCAGCATCAGTTAGAGTACAACTACAAAACCCTTATACTTATATCCCAGAGATATAAAAAATATTTTTAGATATTTATTTTTCTATTTCACAATACAGTGCACTTATCATGCACACATATAAGATTTCTGTAACAATATAACATGCATCTTCTTCATTCTGAACTCATTGCTACTCAAGCATATCTCAAAACCTTTCCCCAGTCCTGAAGCCAAGGGAGGTAACCTCCAACAACTTTTCTTTAAAATTGTTTTAAAAATAATTCTATTATTTATATTTATTTAATTATTAAAAAGGTAAAAAATATAATTATTAAATAAAGAAATGTATAATCTCAAAGAAAATGTATAATTTAATATTTCTTTTCTAATAGTATTTATTGTTTAGAGTGAATTTTGTGATGCAACCATGTGGTCTGAGTCCACTATGGAGCGCCTCAGTATCATTTCGAATATTTTAAAAATTGTGATTTTACTATAGGTTCTCATTGTTAATTTTCATAGCTTAAATATCTAACATAATATAGAATCTATTTAACAATCTGATTCTTTAAAACAAATTGAAAACTACCATAATGTCAAAGCGACCATTTATACGAAAGTGTAAAAATTTGTCCAAAACTCGACTTAGTAAAATTAGTATAAAATAATAACAAAAATGTTAGAAACTTCCGTTTGTTAAGGAAAAAAATCTTGCGCATTCTTGAACTACATTGAGTAAGTGTAAATAGTATAGAAGCGCTTTTTGCATCGAGGGGGTTATGTCGCATTCTTTTAAATTAGTAGCAAATGAGTTAAGTGCATTATTGAAGGGGATATCCTCCTACACAATTATGTATTATGTGCAAACATTGTTTGCACCATAAGGGGGGTTTTACTCTGACTTCTGCCTGCTTTTCTTTCTGGATTTGCTTCCATGTCCACCCAAGGACAACTACAGGCAGCAGTTGTTTGATTCCAGAATTTTCTCTACTAGATGAGTTGTTGTCTAGAGCTAGCGGGCCTCATCTGAACTCTGGACTTAAGAAGTTAGCAACCATGTCGTCCCCTATAAATGGTATGAAAAGATACAGATTCCAACAAAAGAATACACAAATGGCTAACGTACCTCTTTTTGAGACGGGACTGGAACGTGAGCAATGAAGTGTTTCTCCAGCTCATGAATGGTGACATCTGTAGTGGAGCTAGTCTGAGTCTCACTAGCAACATCATCTTCAAAATTTTCTGCCAACTGCAACATTACACAATTAAATAACTAATGACACTTGTATTTTCTGTACCTCGTAATCAATCTAAGGCATTTTTAAAACATCAGAAAAGCTTTTTTAAATCTATAACATATAAAAATATACAAAAATAACGTATTTTGTAAATATGTTTAATTTACATTGTTTAGACCATTGCTGTGATTGCATGAAATATCTTTTAAAACTAATTAGTTTTTTATATAATTAATGAGACACGATTTAATAGCACATTTAATGCTTGACAAAAATTTTAATTTATGATGGAAACTTTTGCACCCCCAACACATACAGCATATATTTCCCCAGAGAGGAATGGAATGCTTTTACTTACATCTGCAGAGGAAAACAACTCCTCCTCTTTTCCGTGGGCTTCCTCCTCTGTGATCTCACCTGTCTTCACACGACTTTTCTTCTCCTTCCATTCTTTCACCTTAGCTCTGATTGCTGTAATGAATTAAAGATCAGATGAAATACTTTCATCATTTAAAAAACCTGGATCTTTCAAGTCAACCGTAAAAATGTGACAATTTTACCTTTTTTCTCTGCTTCTATTTCAAGTGGTACAATTATACCATCATCTTCATCTCTAAGGCCATAATAATCAGCGTCTATGTATTTCATCAGCTCAGCTCTAGTCTTGCGAGGTGGTGCAGGTGCTGAATTAAGACAAGTAAACAATATACTATAGGTAAACAGAACCTGGACGGCCATGTACTTATACATATTTACATATAAAACAGTGAGCAAATCTAGTCATTAAACAACAATCTTCTTACGCTCTTGTTCAAATAATTCTCTGACTCCCGGTAAGTCTTTGGCAGCACCAAAATATCTAAAAGAAAAAAATCATTGAATCTCAGTTAAAATTCTGGTTCATTATCAAATAAACTAGTTAAAATACACCAGTTTTTTTCATTAGACTTTGGCATAATGGATTTTTTCAATAACTAATAATAGCTGTAAATGTTTAATAGGAGATACCATATATATCTTAGAAGAAGTAAACAGATATTATTTTTAATACTTACTTATAGCCCTTGTTCCCAGGGACTTCTTTACCATCACTGTCCAGCATCTTAGGACCAATTTTCTGAAAAAAAAAATTGAAATAAAATGTGTTAAAAAGTGTGCGTTATCTGAATTATTGCCTCTGTCAGTAGTGTCAGTCAATATTTAATGAAAAAGACACTAAGTCTGATATTCCATATTTAAAGAACACACAAACCCTACAGTCTGGTAGTCAATATTTGACAAACAACACACACCCTAGTCAGATAGTCAATGTTTAAAGCAGAACACACACAAAACTACACACAATTGATAGTCAATATTTAAAGAACAACACAAACCCTATAGTCTGGCCCTCCCAGTTCCAGAATTCTGTCCTCCCAATGACCTTTTTCTCTCAAGAGTTTGTTGATTTCGTCATTTAAATCACGCAGCTTGAACTCACCTAAACCGGCTAAAAATAAATAAAAGAAACTTTGAAAAAGTTGAGCTATTACAATTAAAGCATGTAAATATTTAAAAAATATTAAATACAATTTTATCTTGATATAACTCTAAACAAAACAGGATGAAAATAAAATTTTCTGAAACAGAAAGAAATTTATTGAAACAACCAGAATTACCATTCTGAATCTGCGCCACTTTTCTGGAAATTTCACCAATAATTTGTCGTCGCCATTTTTCAGATTCTTGGAGATTGTCACAGTCAGATGCCAGGTATGGTCTTCGGTCCTGAATAAATTATACATCTTAATTTTAAAATAACATGCAGGCAAAGTTATACACCTCAATTTAAAATCACTTGCACAGACAAAGGATTCTGCTTGTTAAAACTTCTTATAAATTGTCATCTAGAAAAAACCAGTAACAAAGTCAAAGGCTCAGAAATACTCTACTTAATCTGCGCTATTGACATTGATGTCCATAAAATAAATACAAATGTCCATAAATACAAATTTTTTGAAGTTAGAGTACCTGGCTATCAAGAAAACAATTTCAAACGTTACTCCAAAATCAAAATCTCAACTAAATCTTGTGCTATTGTTTACAAATTAATAATTCAGTTGACTGTTATGTAAGACTAATACTAAAGGTTATCATTTTAATACAGCTTGTACTAGACTCACCTTTTCTTTGATACCTCCAACCTGGGAAGCTCTCCATCTGGCCAATGTTGTCCTAAACATCAAAAATTTAAGATGGTACAGGTAAAATTATTTTAAACATTTCAAAATAAAAGGCTCATGTATTATCACAATGATAAAACATTTTTAAAAGTGTTGCTATTGCTCAATGAGGATTGCTGAAACAATCTGTTGGCCTCTACAAACTTTCCCCCCCAACCAATGTCAGGTACTTATAAGATCTGAGTAAACTTCAGAGCTTAGGCATTTTGAAACAAACTTGAAAATAAAATAAATAGGCCCTAAGCCTACTATTAAACTATTAACTATAAGTATAAGAGATACAAAATATTAATGAAAAAACTTACATGGCCTTTTCACTGTTTCTCGCCTATATAAAATAAAATACATAGAATAAATAGAATTAGTTGACTGTAGACAAAAATAGTAAATAGCACTAAAACATTAAACCGATAGGTAGAAATAGATCTAGATTCTAGTCAGATCGCTAGGACTTTCAGCAGTGCTTTTACAAGGCTTCTCGTTGGCATTCCCCCTCCCCACCGAACGAAATGGTATTTATATAGAAAATATATACTTTTAACAGTGTCCGCACCCCGCAAATTTTATTCGTTCCCCCCCCCCCCTTCCTCCCCCCCCCCCCCTGGAGAAAAAAGTGACTTTTAATCAGAAACTGAAAAACTCAGAGATTTCTGATTGGGTAATCTATCGTTTTGGGTACGTAAAATCGCCCGCGACTTGTAATGTGAAAAACAGGTGACTCCTTACATTTTAATAATTATTTAACATTTTGAGGAGGATTTATGTTTTGAAAAATACAAAAATGTTTCCTTGTTTCATTTATGTACCTGTTTTTAAACAGTTGAATTAAAACTTTTCAGTAATAGATGAACACCAGCGATGTTTCCAACAGATGCAACCATGCTCATTTACTATAGCAGCCATCTTGTTAAAGTTTTATTTTTATAGACTTATAGCGCAAGATTCAAGCGGAAGTCACTCTATTTTACAAATGGCCGCTGTTTATATAGCAAATCTTGCTTGCAGACACTGGTGTTTAAAGTTAATTTCTGGCCTATATTGACATATTTAGCCATTGATTTAGGTTTATTATTCATTTATCTATAATATTTGACACAAGCATATCACAATATACTTCTATTACAGCCTTGACATTGAGGTAACGTTTTCGTACATTAATAGCCGCGGGCGATTTTACGTACCCAAAACGATAGATTACCTCTGATTGAGTCCCTGAGCCTGAGTGATCAGCAAGGGGTGTGGGGAAATTGCGAGACGCGAAAAGCGAAATGGCGAGGCGGGAAAATGCGAGAAGGGCGCGAAAACGGTAGGTCACGTGACTTTTTGTCTCGCATTTTACCACAAGCCGATACTTACGCTGGGTGGTGTTGAAATGCGAAGATTTCTGCGAAAAATTTACCGCACCCGATTTTCAGTGGTATTTGGTCCAGACTTCAAAGACGTTTCGTTTACATTGTTAAAACTTCCGATTTTTCCGTCGCTAGACATACTGATGATTTGTCAGCTCCCCCCATCTTTTGTGTCGACTTAGAATACCACCTTGTTCGAAACCGACGGAAATACCGACGACGATAGATCAACTTCTTTCTTTTGTGTGGAACGCCGAGGCCGCCTGATTTACCGTCTTTGAAGATCGCCGTGCCCGGATCTGCTGCCACCGCAAACATATTTTCTATTGTTGCATAGAAATTTTGTATTATAGCCGCCGCCTACGATTTTTTTCTAGCTTTTTTACCATATAAATCTAAGCACAAGGAAATGCCTACATCATTTGGATACAACTATTCTGGAGGTAAGAACTACTACTGTGTGTTTTCTCTTCCAATGTTCCTTTACACTAATTTATATTAGATTTTATATCACGGTTGTGCCAAAATTACAGAAATGATAAAAAATCCAAATTATAAAAAACGGAAAACAGATGTTGAGCGTGCGGATGATGATGATGAGAACATGGGTGCCAGTGTTGTTTGTGGGATGAACGAGGAGGTCAACTGTGATGAGAATGTGAAATGTTGTGAATGTGGATTGGAAGAAGTAGCAAAAGAAAAATGTATAAATGGGTCACGATGTGTGTTTGAGGACTGTTTCAGAAGATTTTGTTTGTAAATTTTGTTTGTAGTTAAAATTACTTAATAAAAAAATAAATTGCACTTTTTAGAATTGTTTATACTTTTACACTTTTTGCAAGTACAAAAATCCATAAATAGATGTTGCAAAATATCTCTCCTGCTGACAAGATTATACCAATTCACAATGACACAGCTCATGTTTGTATAAACATGAGCGGGCTAGATTTTTAAATTAATGCCGACTGAGACGGGATTTTCCTCTCGCTAACAAGAGCGGGCGATGACAGTAGCACAGCAACGATGTTAGGATTTTTAAATAGATAGATCTAGATATAGATCTATCTTCTTAGTATCTAGATAAAAAATAACAACATACAACACTCGTGTTAAAGGGTATGGTTAAATGCTTGTTTATTTTAAAACAAAAACAAAAATAATTTAAATAAATAAAGATGGACAAAAAAAGAAAAAAAACTTTTTTCGCAAAAAGTGTCTCGCTATTTACCCTTAATTCCGCAGGTATGTCTCGCATTACCTTCTCGCATTTTCCCGCCTCGCCATTTCGCTTTTCGCGTCTCGCAATTTCCCCACACCCATCAGCAAGGCAGCAAGACTAAAGTAATGTTGAACTAATCTACCTTTTTTTCCTAAACTGATACTTTTAATAATATTATTAAGTATTAAGAATTAAAGTTTAAATTTTACTAACCATATTTTAAGAGCAAAGAGTAAACCAGATTCAAATGAAGTTTTATTTGAACAAAAAGTCAATAAGTAAAGTAAAACGAAAGTGTGTTCGTAAACAAAACGATGTTTCCGGTTGATTTTCCTGATAGAGTTTTAGAATTTACTGCAAAGTGCGGTGTTCTGTAAAAAAAGACCCAAACTAATAATTTTTAACAAACCGTGAAATTGGCAACTAAGAATTACGTACATACTAAGACTTAACTACTTTGGTATGCTTCTACGTAGGCCTAACCACTTTAACTAATTAGACCTTACACAAACATTAACAATGACAAGGGGGTTGGGTTTAAAGCTCTACTGGATTGGAATATGTTACACAAGTGGCGGCAATAGGTCTGGTGCCATCCGCAGCGGCACCAACGGTGCCACCCCCCTACCAGAGTTTCTTCCAGGCATCTCTTCGGGGGGGGGGGGGGCTTGGCCCCCCGTCCCGAAAAAATTCTACCGCCCCGCCCCCCGAACGAAATGAAATGTATATAATTTATATAGAAAATATATACTTTTAACAGTGTCCGCCCCCCCCCCCCCCCCGGAGAAAAAAGTCTGGAAGAAACACAGCCCCATACACACCTTAGGAATATGTAAGCTTACATTATATATCTTCTTCTTCTTCGTTCTTAATTGAGAATATGGTGGAGGATTTAGACAACAACCAACTTCGTGAACGAACCGGACTGTGGTCTCCAGTTCGGCAGGTGCCCCATATAATTTTTCCCTGAGTGGGGTGAGCAGGGGCAAGTGTCTGACTCGCGCCTGGCTATATAGAGAACATTCCTGAAGGACGTGCTCAGTATTCTCCGGAGCCTTGCCACAAGGGCATATTTCGCCACACCCAATTTTAGTTTTTTATGCATGTGTTGATTTAGTCTGTTATGGCCTGTTCTGAGTCGAAAGATTATGTATTGTTTTTTTCGTGTCAAATTGTAATATCCATCATCTTTATTGTCGTGAGGGTGTGTGTCAGACCACATTTGCGTTTGTTTGTTTTTTATTATTCCTTTTATTTCTTTTGGGTGTAGCGAGATTTCCGGTTGTTTTTTCTTTCCCCCAATTTTTGCCAGCTGGTCCGCAATCTCATTACCCTGTATCTGGCAGTGGCCCGGGATTCACTGCAGCACAGTTCTGCTGCAGGGTTCCCAGAAAGAACCGCAACGGAAAAAAGCGCAACGGACATAAGCGCAAAACAAAAAAAGCGCACACGGAAAAAAGCGCAAAGAGAAAAAAGCGCACACAGAAAAAAGCGCCTTTTTCCGTTTGCGCTTTTTTCTGTTTGCGCTTTTTTCCGTTTGCGCTTTTTTCAGTTTGCGCTTTTTTCCGTGTGCGCTTTTTCTGTTTGCGCTTTTCTCCGTTTGCGCTTTTTTTCTCTTTGCGCTTCTTTCCGTTTGCGCTTTTTTCTGTTTGCGCTTTTTTCTGTGTGCGCTTTTTTTCTGTTTGCGTTGTTTCTGTTTGCGCTTTTTTCTGTTTGCGCTTTTTTTCTCTTTGCGCTTTTTTCTGTGTGCGCTTTTTTCCATGTGCGTTTTTTTCTGTGTGCGCTTTTTTCTTTTTGCGCTTTTTTCTGTTTGCGCTTTTTTCTGTGTGCGCTTTTTTCCGTTGCGCTTTTTGTTTTGCGCTTTTTTCCGTTGCGCTTTTTTCCTTTGCGGTTCTTTCCGGCCACCGCCATTCCGACCCCCCCCCCCCCTCCCCCCGCAGACAATCTGGAACGTAATATTAAAATCAAATATTAAATTTATAATTCAACCATTGTCCACCCACACTATGGTAAACTGATGGGGCGAGTAGTTTGGGTGTGGGTGTGGAAAGGGGGGGGGGGGAGAGCTTACAAAATAAGTAAAATAAGGCTCCTCGTTAGAGGCATCTTATTTATCTAATAAAATACATCAAGTTTCAAAGACTAGTTCTCGCTTTCTTCGTGAGCTGGTTAAGTGTTTAAGAAGCATTCTTAAATTTAAAGTATGGGGGAAAATCCACCTTCGGTTTAAAACAATTCAAAGAAAATAATGCAAATTGAAACGTGTTGTATTTGTGTGATGTAGTATTACATTTTTAAAACAAGTTACGAGAAAGAATTCCGAATTATACCCTTAGTACTTCACAATGTTGATAGATACTTTAGTTATACAAAACAGTTTTAAAAAGATCTAAGCTAGGTTAACAAATAATAATATATAGATACTGATATATGTATATGTTGTATGGTGACTACAGTTGGGTAGGTTGTGTGATGACGGAGTTTTGTGTGTACGTGAAAGTTCTACGTGTAAACAATGTGTAGTGAGATGGTGTAAAATTCGTGTATGTTCGATGGGTGTAGGACAGTATCTAGTGCAAGGTTAACGTGTGCTGGTGTGTTTTGACATGTGGGTTGCTGAGCTAGTGTTCAGGGTACGACCAATGGGAGATGGTCAAAGGGAAACTACTGGTAGCACGGACAACCGAGAGGGGAGGGGAGATAAATGAAACAACACGCATGTTAAAACCCATGACATGGTGTGTTCAACAACTATTTCCCTTTCTTGTGAAAACAGGCCGGCTGTGTTAAATATTGATGTAGGAATTTTTTTTTACAAGATAAACTAGCTCAACTGTATACCATAACTATCTTTGGTACACACATTTAAATGGGCAAAGTTGTGTGGATTCTGTGTGTGGATTATGATTTGTTCGTGGAATAAGCAAGGACTGTTTATTTTTGAACATCGTCACTACGTAGTCAATAGAACCCATCAACAAGAAAATCAAACATGAGGAAACATCAACAAGAGGCTTCATCAACTAAAGGACCGTTTTAACTTGAGAACCCATTAAATACTGGACCCATCAGCTAGAGGACCCGTCAGCTAGAGGACCCACCAACTATAGGACCCATCAGCTAGAGTACCCATCAGCTAGAGGACCCACCATCTATAGGACCCTTCAGCTAGAGTACCCATCAGCTAGAACCCTTCAGCTAGAGGATCCTTCAGCTAGAGGACCCATCAGCTAGAGGACCCATCAGCTAGAGGACCCATTAGCTAGAGGACCCATCAGCTAGAGGACCCATCAGCTAGAGGACCCATCAGCTAGAGGACCCATCAGCTAGAGGACCCATCAGCTAGAGGACCCATCAGCTAGAGGACCCATCAGCTAGAGGACCCATCAGCTAGAGGACCCATCAGCTAGAGGACCCATCAGATAGAGGACCCATCAGCTAGAGGACCCATCAGCTAGAGGACCCATCAAATAGAGGACCCATCAAATAGAGGACATCGGTTAGAGGACCCATCGGCTAGATGACCAGAAATGGTGAAAATCAGATAAGTGTGTAGTATAAGTGTATATGTACACAGTAAACAAAAACATATCACAAACAAAATAACACAAACCAACGAACATAAGCTACCACCATTAACCGACAACAGACCACGATAGACCATAAAACTACGAACCACAACTAACACCACTAACCGACAACCGACCAACCAACGACAACTAATCCACTAATCGACGACCAACCAACCAACGACCACAAAACTACGAACCACAACTAACACCACTAACCGACAACTGACCAACCAACGACAACTAATCCACTAATCGACGACCAACCACCCAACCAACCAACCAACCAACGACCACAAAACTACGAACCACTAAAACTACTAACCGACAACTGACCAACCAACGACAACTAATTCACTAATCGACGACCAACCAACAAACGACCACAAAACTACGAACCACAACTAACACCACTAACCGACAACCGACCAACCAACGACAACTAATCCACTAATCGACGACCAACCAACCAACGACCACAAAACTACGAACCACAACTAACACCACTAACCGACAACCGACCAACCAACGACAACTAATTCACTAATCGACGACCAACCAACAAACGACCACAAAACTACGAACCACAACTAACACCACTAACCGACAACCGACCAACCAACGACAACTAATCCACTAATCGACGACCAACCAACCAACGACCACAAAAATACGAACCACAACTAACGCCACTAACCGACAACCGACCAACCAACGACAACTAATCCACTAATCGACGACCAACCAACCAACGACCACAAAACTACGAACCACAACTAACACCACTAACCGACAACCGACCAACCAACGACAACTAATCCACTAATCGACGACCAACCAACCAACGACCACAAAAATACGAAGCACAACTAACACCACTAACCGACAACCGACCAACCAACGACAACTTATCCACTAATCGACGACCAACCAACCAACCAACCAACGACCACAAAACTACGAACCACAACTAACACCACTAACCGACAACCGACCAACCAACGACAACTAATTCACTAATCGACGACCAACCAACCAACGACCACAAAAATACGAAGCACAACTAACACCACTAACCGACAACCGACCAACCAACGACAACTTATCCACTAATCGACGACCAACCAACCAACCAACCAACGATCACAAAACTACGAACCACAACTAACACCACTAACCGACAACCGACCAACCAACGACAACTAATCCACTAATCGACGACCAACCAACCAACCAACCAACCAGCGACCACAAAACTACGAACCACAACTAACACCAATAACCGACAACCGACCAACCAACGACAACTAATCCACTAATCGACGACCAACCAACCAACCAACCAACCAACGACCACAAAACTACGAACCACAACTAACACCACTAACCGACAACCGACCAACCAACGACAACTAATTCACTAATCGACGACCAACCAACCAACCAACCAACGACCACAAAACTACGAACCACAACTAACACCACTAACCGACAACCGACCAACCAACGACAACTAATCCACTAATCGACGACCAACCAACCAACGACCACAAAACTACGAACCACAACTAACACCACTAACCGACAACCGACCAACCAACGACAACTAATTCACTAATCGACGACCAACCAACCAACGACCACAAAAATACGAAGCACAACAAACACCACTAACCGACAACCGACCAACCAACGACAACGTATCCACTAATCGACGACCAACCAACCAACGACCACAAAAATACGAAGCACAACTAACACCACT